ATACTGGTGTAATTCCCGTTACTGAAAGAGCGCTCTTCTCCTTGGGAGCTAACTGCTTCCTCAAACAGGCAACTTATGTCGTCAGGAGACAGGGCTGAGACAGCGTTGTCTTTGTGAGATACGTACAAGGTCATCCCTGTGGTGTTCTTTGCAGAAGGTGGTCGTTTGGGTTCATGTTGTTCAACAGTCATTGATGTGAAGAACACAAGAGACAAAGCACTGTATTGTCCAAATCAGGAAATTGCATCCCTGGTCTAACTCATCTGGCCTATTTGGCACAGTTGAGCGTGATGTTTTAAAGGGGTTTAAGGTGGGTCTTAGAGTGGAGGTCCAATTCACTAGATGCAACAGGAAGAAAAGTTGTTCAGGTTGCCAGCTTTCCCTGATTAAAAATTAGCTCTGTCTCTTGGAGTTCTTATCATGCCACTTGTGTCTGTTGCTTAGTTTTGCTCTAAGAATAATTTGCAAATACAAGGGGGGAAGTGCAGGCCCATTGTCCATAGAAGAGAGAAGTTTGCACAAAAATTATACAAAACGTTACTGATTCTTATGTGTCAGTCTCTCCTGTCAGGTTAGGGGTGCAGGCAGTATTTTGTAAATGTCATTAGTTTGTGTTTGTATGTTGTAAAATGCAAATATCCCTGAAGCACAAGAGCCTCTCCACAAAAGAGCTTTACTGTTGGAAGACCCTAACTATAAACATGCTACTTTTCTACTAGGCATTTGCGAAATATGGGAAAGTTTTTATGCACTTCATCTAGTTACTCTTTTCTGCTATGCTGTGATGCTCTGTGAATTTGTTTTTCTGGACACGTGTTTTCTGCAAGAGGCATTTTATTACTAAATGTTTATATGCCCAGACACTTCCAAAACCAGGTTTGTGTGTATGAGCATGTGGGAAGTCCAGCATAGGTTTGCAGCATGTTCTCCTGTTTGTACAAGAAATAAAAAATATTCCCCCCCCAAATGTATTTTTGTAGTTGAAGTATGAAGGTTTGTTGTATAGAAAATGAAGGGGGAAGATTAATTTAGCAAGAAAATTTCACTTCTGAGAACCAAGCTTCAAAACTCCAAATGGAAACCTGAGCTGACATTCAGGCTGTGCTTGTCTTTTGTTTTCAGTTGTCCTGTTTAATGTAGTTCAGTGTGCATTTTTATCAGTCACCTAGCTTTATAGGCAGTGCTAAAGCACGAAGGGTTGAGTTGCCCAGTAAAAGCATGGATGTGTGCATGGCAGAAGAGTCACACTGTCTTTTTTTACCATTCACCTCAGACCCTTATTTGCAGCAAACAGTTCTTTAGGTTTACAGATGTGCAGCTTTATGTCTCCGCATGGTACAAAATGAGAAAAGCTACCAGCACAGCTGCAGTGAATTCCACTGGGACTCTATGTTTCCTGCAACAACAAAGTATGAAGTGCTTTTTCCAGACAATTGCTGTAATGAAATTATTTAACTAAATCAGTGGTGTTGCGGTCCTGAGTGGTAGAAACTTCATTTTCCCAGTTCTTCTTTCATCTTTGCTGGGAGGTTTACGTTCAGTGTTCTTTTGTCAGTGTGTCTTGTAGCCAACTGCATGACCAGGCAGGTAATTTTTTTTCACACACTTTCTGAAAGTGCACCTTGCGGTTGTCAGTCAGTATCTGCTCTTAGGGACAAATCATGTTCACGTTACACAAGGGAGTAACATGGTTAAAATTGTTGTGGCTCATGGATGTAGGATTTGGCTCAGTATCCTCACTTGTCTGTTTTGTTTCATAGAGTTATAGAATAGGTGTAGAGTTGTGGGCACTAAATAGTTAAAGATCTTGTGATACAATTGGGGGCCGTGTGATGAAGTACCCTTTTTTGGAGTGGCTAGACCAGAGCAGTGATGTTAATGTGAAATATTTCTGTAAGCAGTAGGAAGTAGTGGACCTTGATTTCCAATGAATTTGTTTTGCAGATCTGATTTACTTTCTAACTGAACTGCCTGCCTCAAGTCTTCAGTGTGGGCTCTGCTGAAAATGCGGTGGGGTGGGGCGTGGGTTCTCTGATATCAGGCTATAACGGAGGTCTCGCTGAAGCTTTTTTATCAATTAAGGGAAACTCTGCTTGGGGACTTCCTCCCAGCTTCCTGTTCTGATTGCACGTGGAGGAGTGTAATATTTTGAAGACCTCTACCATCTGTCAAGATTGGCCAAAATTGACCAATGAATTTTAAAAAATGTAGCTACTGGAGATGCAGACTTGCCTACAGTAACACAAAGAGAAATTTTATGAAATCAGATTAAAAGTGCATCATTGTAGCTACCCCACCAACCCATTTAATTGCAGTCATTAAATTTTGTTTACTGTTTTGAATGTGTCACGCTTCCCTTCAGGTAAATCTTTTCCTGTAAGTCGGCTGGATCTCTCCAGGACATCCTCCTCTGTAAAGAAGATTGTCACCACAACACTAGTACTTACGCCAGCAGGAGAGGGAGCAGCCACTGTCAGCAGGCACAGCCCCAGAGTGCTTGGAGGGACAGAGGACATTCTCTGTCTTGCCTCCCTTGCTGCACTCTGTGCCAAGTCCTTGGTGTAACTGCATGGGTCTCATTGCAGCACTGCAGTTTGTGCAAGTTAATGCCGTTGGTGTTAGTCAAATACTGTTATGTAAGAGGTAACGATGCATCATCTGAAAAGCTTTTGACTGAAAGCAGGTCACTTGTGCCTGATGCATGTATAATGCTGTTCTCACATAGCAGGCATTTACAGGCATATGTAATAGGGTAGTAAATACTGGAGGAACGGGTTTGTGCTCTAAGCAATCCTGGACAAAATGTTCTGTGATCAGGAAGGACTAGATCAGATATTGACAGAAGCTCTTCCTATTTTGAAGCCTTGAGAAACCAGTTAAGGTACGTTATCAGCTTTTGTTGCTATAGGGAGTGAGAGCTCTGCACCTTTTCGTGGGGTGGATTGTGTTTTCTAAGAACACATCTGGAAGGACCGCAGAGGAGAGAAGTACCTGTCTCCCCATTTGCAGAGGAGAAGGCGGAGAGAAGAAGGAGAAGTACTTGCTCCCTGTACTGTGGAAAGGGGTGACTGGGAGCAGATAGAGGAGAGGAGTGGGCTGTGCAGCTCCATGCCTCCCACCTGAGTTGTGGTCTCTGATATGGCTGGTATTCCTGTGCAGACTTAGAAAAGGAAACATTGACTCACTGGGTTTGTTGTTCTTGCTTTTCTTCATTGGTATCCAAACTCTGCAAGTTGCCAGGAAGTATGGTGCTTTGTATGATCACTCAGTAGAAGCTAGGTAGGAATCTTGGGTATGTAATATTGTTGATTTAGGGTAAAAAAATCATGTTTGGCACCGTGAAAGGTTGGCTAGTCTATGCTGTGCTGGCCTTCTCTCTCTGACACAACACAGTTGTGGTGGATTTTGCAGGCCAAGGCCTTTCCTCAGACAGCACGTGGTCCACGTGACACTTGTGTCATGGCATAACGACTGCTGTCAAAATAAGGAAATGGAAAATAGCAGGTAACAAAACACAGGTGTTAAGAGAAACACACTAGTAAGCCTAATTTCAGCCTTTTTTTTTTATACTTACCATGTTCCTGTCTCTGTGGCTTTGTTAAGGTTTGCTTTGTTTCAGAAAGAAAAGAGTACAGGATCGTATCAGGACCATTTAAAAAAAATACCTCAATATGTAGGGTAGAAGGATGGTCCATTTCATTCATTCAGATGCCCACTTCAGCCATGCCAATTTAGTTATTTTGGGAAATATAATAAAAGAGAAAGAAGATATAATAATAATATGACCTAATCACATTTGTATTTCAAAAGTTTGTAATATTTTAATTACAACTCAATTTCATTGTCGTTCAGCTTGAACGATAACAAAAGCACTGAAGTGTAAGGGCAAATTTTCTAAAGATTCAGTACTTTGGGTGTTGTGCTTGCTTGAAAATTTGGCTGTACCATCGCAGGCAGAATTCTGACCAACCTTTGAACAGGATGCTTAGTAAGTTCCCTGTGCAGTTACTATGTGGCTTTTTTTTTGAAGGATTGTTCCCAGGTTAGCGTTTGAAAGTTTGGGTCCCCAGGCATGGTTGTTTTGGTAAAGTGTTTGAGGCTTTTAATTAATTTTAATTCATTCATTTTCATTAAGGAAAGATTTTCTACGAGTGCTAGGTATAGCTCACTTGTCATTGATCTAAGCAAGGGAGGTGGTGGTAGGTATATTTATCCAGCCAAGGATGCTGTAACAGAGCTTAAAATAAAGCGGTGTCCTCTTACATGTGTTGGGAGCAGTGGGTTCTCAGGAGGGGATGAGAGCTGTTTCTCATGCTAAAACCGGTCTCCAGTACTAAATCTTCTAGTAACTCTTATGAGTTAAAAATATGCTCCAATGCCAGAGAATCAAACATACATACTTTTTTGACTCCTTGTCCCATTCCTAGTCTGTGTCTTGAAAGTCTCCCTGAAGTGGAAAGGTGGTTGTATATTTTTACTCTGCAGCC